AACCCAAACTCAACTCTGACGATTACATTGACTACGCTGCACACACAAGGAACGTCTAAAACCCGTAGATATTCACGTAGCTCAAAAACTAATGTGCGCCCTACGACATTGATAAGCGAAGTTCTTGCCATTTGATTGGATGAACCAAACAAATGACAAGAAGCGGTTGATAAGATTAGCAGTTCAGACTGACAAAAGCCTCCCTAAAAGACCTCTGGAAAAGAAACGAGTGACAGCAAAATATTCGCGAACTACACTATTGATTCCCTGTGGCATTTAAAAGTGTCCTTACATTAAACTAGATTGACTGACGCCTTCTAGTAAATGCTATTTTTATTCTCAGGCTGTGAAGGCTTTTGAGTCTAATCAATCCTTATTCTCACAAAAAGCCGTTTCATGGCTACTCGGTCGCTTGGCAAACACTGGCTAAACGGGGCTACGCAGCCACACAGCCACACTGGTCCTTGAATACTTTTAAACAAAAGACCCTGTTCTAATTGTTACGTGTTCTAATTCTCGCATTAAATATTTAGGCAAACTATAGTGAAAAACCGGTACTGCATAGTCCATTATTGATCTAATACAACTAGAATAAAAGAGCCCTATATCAGTACGAGCAACCTTGGCTCTCTTAAGTTGAATCAAGAATTATAATCTCTTAGATGCTTTTTTAAAAATTTCATTAATATGGGTATTCCAGGTCAAATTACGGGAGATATTAAGACCCAAAAGCTTTACATTTTCTACCACTTCTAAAGCATCGCCATTGATGAGAATGGGCTCAAATTCTTGCTGGAACTTTGAAAAGGATATTTGCATCTCTTTACACTTTTCATTGTTTAATTGGACTCTATTTTCGAGGGACCATTGTATTACTCTATCTGTATGACGCTGTGCGTTGCTAAGCTCTAAGACGCTGTGCGCTACTAAGTTACTAAGCTGTGCGTTGCTAATGTTAAATCGCGATAATTTCCATGTAAATGCAGTAAGACAACTCGCCTCTTCATCATCTTGCAAGAGTAAAGGTGGAAGAAATGATCGGAATGAACTTTCGTTGTTACAATAAATGAACGATGAACTAGATGAAAAAGTTGACCTCCAAAATTAACCTTTTGAAGGTTAATAAAACTCCAGGTTTCTTCAACATTTTTTGTACTTTCACCGCCGAAATCGACACCTTTTAAGATATTACTTAACGAGGAATATTCCCGACACCCACTCAAGATCGCAGATATTTATGCTTTTAACCTCTTAATATCTTGTTAATTTTTTTTTAATTTCGGATGACTTAAGATTTGAAGGTCAAGATTAGACAAAAGGAACAGTTTTATACAAAAGAATAAAAAATCGCTTGGAACCGTGTCGCAAAGAAAATAAAATTGGGGTTTTCGTATATACGACAGTTTCTCAAGTGAAAACTAAGGGCACATCCTTTAAATTTACTACCTAGCTTTATTTCCGAAAAATAAACCTCAACAAAGCCAACTCGTCTATCTTAAACTATAAAAGAAAGGTCCACATGGTTCGTGAACTTGCAACCGGCCGAATCATTCATAATGAAAGCTAGCAAATTACCATTAGAATCAGCTATCATATGTAAGAAAAGTACTACCAATACTAAAATAAGTGTTTTTGGGGAAAATATGCGCTAACTTCCGTAGAGGGAAGGAGTTCGGTAATTGTGTAAATTCGGTATATGTTCCATCTAACCACTGCTGTGTTGAGGTAAGCTAAAAGAACTTAGACCTTCAATCGTTATTTCGTCGTGTAGATTGATGGGACATCAATTCGAGACACATTTACTTAAGTACCCAACAGATGTCCAAGCACTCTTTTGCTGTTGTCCCACTGAACAGTATCTCATATTATGTGCAATTACTGCCAACTGTTATCAACTTGATCGTGTTTTTAATGACAATGGAAACTTGTCTTTTTTCGTCTTATTTCCTGTATGTTTTTTATTTTAATAATCACAAATGAAATGTTTCTCAATAAAAACAACACAATTTTTTTTTCACTGGCTGATTAAAAAGGCTGCCTATTAACCTTTTACTTTAAAACTACAGTTTGATCTTGTCTGGTAGGAGCAGCTGTTAAGGCAATTTACACATCCTGTGATAAAAATTAACCACGCAACGAAAACGATGTGAGCGTCAAAGGAACTGTACAGAGGGCGCTTCCTTAAGTATTACATAAATTATGTACAAGGCTCCAGTATAAATTTGTGCCTTTGAACGGAGATTTAACAAAATAAAGTTTGCAAATACTTTTCAGATATGGAGAGCAAGGCTATCATCTTAGTATTTTGTGTTCTGCTGGCGGCCAGTTTCATATACGAAGCAGGGGCACTTTACAGTCAGAACTGTAAATTTGGGAAGAGAGAACTTCACCCGGTATTGTTTCATTGTTTCGTTTTTGTTCTTCTGTTTTCTACAGTGCTTCTGCTTTTCACGGGACCAGTTAATGTGTCAGCTTCAGATCCCATCGAAGTGTTAAATTTTGTATTATTGCGGGCTTTTCCTTGAGCGACTGCTGTTAGAAATCATTGTTCTCAAAATCTGATCACGAAAGTGGTTTGTTTATTATTTATTTTCACTACTGCTTAAGTAGTGATCGTTACTGCGAAAATCGCTCTTATACTAAAGAAATAAGAAAAGAAGTTAACGAATAGAGAGAGAGAGAGAGAGAGAGAGAGAGAGAGAGAGAGTAAAATAATGAAAGAAGGGAAGACACAGGAAAAGGTTGCGAGGTTAAAAGTTGAAGACGATCATAATGATTAAAAAGTTTTTCGTTTTCTTGTGGGGATGCTTGATGGGGATTTACTTAGGTAACATAAGAAATTGGAAGAAAAAGGGTTAGCTAAGCTTTTCAAGACACATATTTGACCTTTTCTGGTTGAAAGTCCTGGAAGCTCGCAAGTTTCGAGGTATTTATCCACTTCCCCTACCTCGGTGGATGGCACCGTTATACATTAGAAAGGATAACGCATATGTTAGTACTTTGAAAAGTCATCCCTGTATGCCCACAAGTATAGTTTCGTCAACTAACCCTAAGCAATGAGCTGTTGTTTTACTTACTTGCAGAATTTCCGGAGAAGACACGAAAGGAGAAAAACTACAGGATTTAAATCAGTAAAAGATGTAAATTGGATTTATAATTGAGTTGAGCTGCTGATTGAGTAAAGCTTACCACTGTTGAAGCCTTCTTGTAAAATAATTAAATTGCGTGTATGTATTCTGAGTGTATCGTTGATTTGTTTTAGACTATTAAGGTAGCTCAAAGACCGCTCTGTCCTCTATGATATCCAGAAGAAAGGTTCTCGCCTTCTTTTGGATGAACCAAACAAAAGACAAGAATCGGTTTGTTAAACACGATCAGGTGCTGCATATGGCAAAAGCCTGGACTAAAGACTGCTTGTACACAAACGAGTGTCAAGAGCCGGGGGAATGTTGTTGGTCATATTGACTATCACATAGCTGACAAGCATCCATTCGGGGAACCACGCTTTTGACAAGGATTTTTATTAATGCCTACCTCTTAAGTTAACTCCTCAGTTTTAAAGAAACCTCTTCAGTAGACAGACAGCAACAACCACCAGCACCATTACACGACGTCAGCGTAATCCCTACAAACCGAAGTAGGGACTAATCGGGTCTTACGGTTAATTATACCGCAAGAAAACTGACCAATCAGTTGTGGTGAACCAGGCATGCGACCGGTCGTTAGTATAACGAATAAATCTGCTGGCTGCTGGCTGTTATCTGCTGGCTGCTGTCTGCTGGCTTTTATGTCACTTTTCCGGCCTGTAAGACCACTTTGCAAGCCTCATCTTTTGCCCGAATTCTAAAACTGTGGAACAACTTATGCAATGAAGCCTTCCCTAATGGTTTTACTTCTCTTGGCTGTTTTAAATCATTGTTGAAGAATTTGTGCAAGTCTCTCTTAATGAATGTCTTTGATGAGGACGTGGTCTGCTCCTGGTCAATATCTCCTGAATGTTTATGTCACTACTACGTAAACGTATGTTTATATATATACTTTTAGATGACAATTTTGTACAATTGGATTCTCCTACAATTAGATTTTCCTCTTACTAAAGTAGATTTTGTTTGTTTTTTTACTTGTACTTATTTTAAATTCGTATATTTTCCTTGGGTAGGCAGCCTGAGTGAGTCGTTCGTGCCCATCCCTTTTGGGCTTTAACTTTTTTTTTTTTATATTTTCAATTTGATCTTGCCCAATAAAGCTTGACAATACATACATAAAGTTTTTCAATTTAAAGGCGCCACTTCAACCTTACGTCGAGTCAGGCTTACTATCTTTGTCCTTCTTCACTAATCAGAAAAATATGTCCAAACAGAGCGAAATTTTTGAAAGTGAATGCTCTTCAGCGTGAATAAAATTAAAAACGCCAGGTTTTCGCTTTATTGTCTATTGCTTGCATTTTAAAAATGGAACCTTTCGTTATTCTGAAGTCACAACTCCCAGTATTTTATGGCAGACAAACTGAGTCTACATTTCGTTATATCAAGTGTGAAAGTGCACTGTTTGATCCCAAAAAGCAGTATGGTCTGTTGTATTCTGAGTTCCAGTCGAATGACTGTGTGAGTCTTCTTAGGTGTTTCTCAGAGCGTTTGCTCCATGTGAGGGGAATCCAAACTTTTGTTAAGTCACTCACAAGTAGCTTAGAGGTTTAGCTCACCAAAGATGTGACTCCCTAAAGAGAAAAAAAAACTGAATGACTGATACCTACTAGTATGTGCTGTTTTCTATTCCTGTTTAGTCGGTCCTTATGCTAACAAAATTCTTAACAGGTACTCAGTCGTTTGGCAGACATTTGCTAGACGAGCTACACAGCCACACTGGTCTTTGAATGTTTTCATACGGAAGACCCTTCTCGATCGAACTTCTAATGGATCACTTTTCTACATATTTTATGCCGGTCTTCAAGATTTTGTTCAGTGATGCCCGACCTTAGGTCCGCACCCTAATCCCTTATACTCTTTTATTAAGCCAACGGGTCCCCTCATCCCCACCTCGCTGTCTTTAAGGAAAATTACAGTCATTTATCTTAGCCGACAGTTAGACAATTTATCTCTTCAGCATATTGAAATAATAAAGGTGGAAGAAAGGAAGATATTTTCGCTTTGGTTTCTTTTCGTTTTATCGTTAAAAAAAAAAGCTAAGCCTGATTTTACTCTCTAACCTCCAGGTTAGCTCAACGGATAGAGTGCTGGACTGATGTGCGGGAGGTCGAGGGTTCGAGCCCCGGCCGGACCAACAATAAAAGTCTTAAAATAATTGAGAAGAATATGCTGCCTTTCTATAAAATCAAGAAATGGTTTAGATATTCTAGTCTTCTCGGATAGGGACTAGTAAATGGAGGTCCCGTCTCCTGCAGGGTTAAGGGTGGGAGACTTTTCTTTCCCACGCACGAGATTACTGTGATGGATGTCCTCTCCTGAGGTGGGATGTGTGAGTTGTTGTCTTGCGTTTAAATAAATAAATAAATAAATAAATAAAATTGTGAATTTATATTGCGCAGTTTCCATGACGGGATGATCAACTGCGCATTGCAACAATGCATGGAATAAATACTAATTACATATTTACAACAATGCATGAAAAAAATACTAATTACATCATTACAACAATGCTTTGTAATAGATACCAGTTACATCATGTGTAATATAAAATATTAAAAGCTAAGCTAACTAAGAATAAAAAGCCTTACCGAAAAAATGCGTCTTTAAGAGTTTTTAAAAAGTGTCGACAGATTTAGCCATTCTAATTTCCGAAGGTAAATCATTCCAGAGTTTCGTCGCCGAAGCAACGGTCGCCTAGAGTTTTTAAAGTTTTAAAATTCGGGTAAGATAGCAGTATTCCGTCATTACAACGCAGTCCATATCTCGAATTTAAAGGCTTAATTTTGACAAGATCATTGATATAGGACGATGCGGATTTGTGAATGGCTTTGAAAGTTAAAAGTAGAACCTTACATGCGCCTCTGGCTCGGGCAATATGGGTAACCACGCCCCACGTTAAGACATTAAACTTTGATTACTATTACTATTACTATTTTCTTTCGTGTAATATTACTTTGGTAAACTTAACTAGAAAAAAGTTTCCTCGATCTTTTCTATACCCAGGCTGTCGACATCGTCACCCCTTAAGATATCTTTTTCCTGAAGAAAGAAAACTCAAGATGGAAGCTATTTATACTTTTAACCTCTCAAAACCTCATAACTTCTTTTCTTTCTTTTTAATTTTGGGATAACCATTGATTTGATAGTTAAGATCCAATAGCAATTTACTTTGAATGTATAAATATGGCTAAGAAACGTTTCGCAAAGAAAAAAACCTTCAATTTTGATATGCGACTGTTTCTAGAGTAATAACTACTTTCTTGAAGCTAACGTACCACTCCTTGAATTTGATTGCCTCTAGAAATCCAAAATAAAACTCAAGACCGCTCAAGATAGCACTGTTTCATAGCTAAAGCCAATGTAAGGTTCGTGGAAAAGTGCAAAAGTCCAAGTCGTTTAAAGCTAGCAAAATGCCCATGAAATCAAACCTGATATAAAAAAAATCGGAACTACAATGTATTACAACGATAAGTGGTTTTGGGAACGCTTTAAGCTAATTTCCTTGGAAGGCATGAGTCATGTCTGTGGGCTTTCTCAGTTTCCGTCAAACTGTCCCCAGTTAGAAGTGGGGTTAAGGAAATAACTCTTTTGAATGTTAATTTGGACGTGAAAATAGGTGGTACATCAATTAGAGACATATTTACGTAAGTACCGAACAGATGTCCAAAGCACTCTTTTGCTGCTGTTTTGCTTTTATATTTTGGGAAGTTAATGCTACTTTTATCAACCTTCTCGTGTTTTTAAAGTAATGATGGAAACCTGTTTTTTTTTTCCTTTTATTTCTGTGTGTTATTATATCATCGAAAATGAAACGTTTCTCAACAAAAACATCGCAATAATAGTTATCAGTATTTTATCACTGATTGAATAAAAAAATGCATGTTAACTTATTTTAGTCTTTTTTTGGCATCTAATGCTTTTACTCTTAACCTACAGTTTGACCTTGTCTCGAAGGGCGGCTGTTGGGATAAAATTAACCCCACGCGTAGACAATGTTGGCGTCAGAAGAACTCTTTTGAGGGTATTTCTTTGAGTTTTACTTAACTCATTATGTGCTAGGGTCCGCTATAAATTTGAGCTCGTGTACGGACACTCATTCAAGGTTATAGCCGTTTATCTTTCACTTTCTTCAGAAATGGACAGCAAGACTATTATCTCAATATTTTGTATTCTGCTAGCAGCCTGTTTGATGTTCGAAACAGAGGCACTTTTCGGTCTGGACCCCGACTTTAATGCCGGGAAGAGATCATCTGTCTTGGTAAATTTCATTTGTTTTTTTGTGATCTTTTTCAAAAATGTGTTTTAGAATTAGAAAAGGAGTAAATCATAACGTTCATCGAACCCCTTCATAATC